GATAACTAGATGGGAACAATAATATCATTATGGTAATAAAATTTGAAAGTGAATCACATTGAGAATATTTTTTAGTAAGAGTGTTATTTTGGCAAAAAACTCCAAATACGAGATGTCTCACTCAACTGCCATTACTCTTTTGGATACTTGATGATTAATGAGTAATTAGAATTTTGTTCGTATCTTAACACGGTCTTCTTTTTTTTATTTATTATGAATATATACAAATATAAATAATTTAAATATAATTAACAATAATCCTATATGTTCATCTATATTAATGTATTCCAATTTAAATGTATTGATTTAAATATATTTAAAAAATTAATGTATTCTAAATGTTCATTAGTATTTTGGATACTTGATTAATAAATAATAACTCACGCAAACACATAATAATAGTAAGGACGATTGTGAGTCAATACAGATTTTTTACACCTTTATTATAAGCGGTTAAATGTTGTCATGTTCTCTAAACGCCCCAAATTTGTAACAATTGGAATCGGCAATGACCCGCCAATAAAACTATAAAATTAGTACGGCTTCTTTTACTTCTCTTTCGCTAAGACAGCAAACCCTAGGCTTACAGCAGTCAAGAAAGCCGCCACATTTGCTTTCAACTGATGGATGTGTTCCACTGTAGGGATGTAATCGTCGACGGACGGAATATTGAGAAATTGTCTGATGTCCAGGAGATTGGGTCTCCGGAGGGAGAGAATGGCGAGCCGTCCCACCTCAGTTCTATCGACGATCGACTGAAAGGGATGACTGATGTCAAGGGTATTGCGTCTCCGGGCAGTACTGGGTCCCTGGAGAGACAGAATGCCGACCCGCTGCACCTCTACGAACAATTGGAAGCCATTAAGAAACAGTCGCATGACATGCAGAAGAAACTATCCGAGATGCACAAAGATATCATCAATCTGAAAGATAAAGTGCGCCGGAATCGCGAAAGAGACCGCCATTGGTGGATAGGTGCAATGGGAAATGAAATATGTCGTTCAATTGAAGTTGGATTTTTTATTTTGGCTGCGAAAGGGGCAATTGAGTTGATGAACGTGACGAAGAATTGCGTCCAAGATTTGGAAGGTGGAAGGGAAGGGAAATTTGAAACTTTCAAAATTGGGATTTTCAGGGGTAAACGGTAAACTGTGTTGTTTAGCCTACTATTACATTTGTGGTTTAGGTTGCAATGTACAAGAGCCCTGCTTTCTTTAGAGTCATTCTTAAATAAGTTGAGTTTTCTTGACTTCTCAGAAGCCTACTTTTTCAAATGGCAAGTATCTTATGCAAATTACAACAGCAAACAAGATTGTTGGATTACACACTTCTCTCTTTAAATATTCTCTCATTACACAAGGCTGCAGTTGTTGTCATTTACTATGTTCATCAATTGTGTACTATCTCCATTTCAGTTTTGCCATTTGTGCCTGGACAGAATTAGATGTCTATGGGTGGTGCAGTTAATAGTTAGAATGCAGAAAGTGATGTAAATAGAGAATAGTGTGTGGCAAAAATGGTTTGCTGGAGCATGTTTGTGAATCTCTAATATTTAGATGAAAGAATTACTCTCTCCCTACAGGTCATTGGTGATGAGAATTTGAGGCTTGGCTAGCGTATGGATAGTTCTAGCACAACCTTTGCTACAGTTTTTAAGTTTGATTTTAAAGGACTGATCTGATATACTTTTGTTAAGACTACTGTGGCAAAATAGTTAGAAGCCATGACCATTGTAGTTCAAGTCTAAGTAAATGTCATGTGAATGATGCCTGAGGATGATTGGTCAAACATGAGCCATTAACATTCTGCGATGAGAAAACTTGATGCATTCTTCTTGTTAAAGACAATCGGCTGTTTGCTGTAATAATCAACATAGATCTATGGAGGTTGACCCAAGCTTCTATTTGTGTCCAATCCAACACCTGAGTTGACAGGAAATAACGACAACTTTGAGAAAACTGATTTTTGTTATGCTGCAAAAGGAAGCATGTCAGGATGATCGACGGGTTTAGGGTCATTTAGGAGGATTTCTGCTGAAGGAAGAAAAGTGGTGACTACTACTCTCATGTGTTTTCTTCTGGAGACCCTTCTGAGAAGTCATTCTAGGGCATTTGTCTTATTGAGTTTGGCATATTAGATTTCTTCGGGATTTTAGCATGTTGCATATCCCTTGTTCTTAAAATTTTAAAACTCAGTTAAATATGGCAGTTTCAAACTTTATTAGTATTTTTGCAAGCATTTTGTTAGAATCGAAACAGCTTAGTTCTGTAGCTTCTGCTGCACAGTTTATGCTTCCGAGCTCAAACAAACAAATGGCACAGCCGCTTAAAAGAGATTATCCCAAGATCTTAACTTAAACTCCTTCCTGGTCGGATGGGTGTGCACGTGATAAAGATAGTGGGCGGCTGGTTACATTTATTTCTTTCTCCTTAAATTCCAGAGGAGAATTTTAATAGAAGAACGCACGCTACCAAATCAAAAATAAATAAATAAACAATGGAGTAGCAGAGCGTTTGGCTGTGTCATCGTGAATATGCTGCTTGCTTCCATTTGCATAGATAGCATCACGAGATCGAGGAGAGCGTATAAATTTCTTCGCCCCCCGCCTCTCATCGTTTAACCATACGTCAGGAGCCTCTTACCCAAGCCAGATGCTGGAGAGAATCAAGAAAAGTTCAATTAAAGAGAGTTCCAGCAGCCAAGATGGAACTCAAACTCAAGCTCAAGCTCACGAGCAAATGAAACCCTTTCTTGCTGCCCTGCCTTATTATTTGATGGACAACTTGTAGGTTCTATACCGTCATACATATGAAGCTTTTCCATCTTATCAGGATCATACTTAATACTGCAGGGGATGACCTCAAAACCAACAATCTCTGCCTCAGAAATGACACCCATACCTTCTTCCCCAGTACCAATTATCTGCACACCAGCTCCTTCATATATTCAAGAATGAAAACCTTTTAACTTGAGACGTGATTGATGATGTAAGTAACCATTTTCACTACCTAGTGGCATGTAGCCAACTGGAAATCCAGTCCACTGGACTTTGGGTGGCATATCTCAAAGCAGGTAAATTGTCCAGAATATCAAGTGAATATCAAGCTGGTCTCCCAAGAGTAGTTCACCACCAAGATTCAGCAATCAAAATCAATCAATGAACTCCAGACCATTAAATAGGACGTGAATATTTAGCCACAGAAAACCATGTGGTTGGGTCTTGCCTCCCGTAGAGTTTCAAACCTACAATAACCCGTTTTAAAGGAGTACTACTATCTTTTTAAGGCAAAAAAGGTTATCCTAAATTGTACTATCATATACAAATAATTCATGGCATCCCGTTCAATTCAATCATTTAAGCACGTCGAGGCAAAGTGCCACAGCAGAAGAGATTCAAGAATGCATTTTTTTCCCCCCTCCTTTCTAAAAAAGTGCAACTGAAAAAAATTTTCAGCTCCAAACGGCACCCAAAATACAGAACAACTGTTCTAGTCGTCAGTTAGTTCCAAACGGTACACAAAATACAAACACAACAATTATAGTTCGCTCACCAAAAGACAGCATAGATCATCACCATATATCTTCAAGGGTTTTCTTTTCCCCACTGCACCAAACAAAAAAACCCAAAAACACACACAATAAATAAATATTTATACATGTGCATTAGGGATGGCAATTCCTGACACGACCCGAATACACGACACGAACCTAACACGAAATTAATGGGTTTGGGTTGAGATTTTCGAGAGTTCGGGTCAGAATCGGGTCGAACCCGATGAACCAGTTTCATCACCAAATAAACGGCCAGCAATGTGTAGAAGAGGACACAACAAACCGGAATAGATTTTTCATAGCCGAAAGAAGGAAGGACCAACCAAATGTTTTTGTACCAATGCGGACGGATCCTGATCCTGACAATGAGATTGAAGCTGCAAATTTGGAAAAAAAAAAATAACGTCAAAAAGAAAAAGCAAAAGCAAAAACAAAAACAAAACAGAAAAATCAAAAGATTGTGCGCATGAAAATGATTTGAAAAAAAAAATTTACTTTTATAAACACAAATTCTAACACATTTTTTTTCACGTACGTCGTATCATCATCATCGCAAGTGCTACATATATCAAATCATAAAAAATATTACAAAAAATGCTATATAATAGTGTTATTTTAAATAAACTCCTAACCAAATACACTTAAATAAATATTTCAAATAAACTCCTACTCAAACACACTTACTAAATTAGAATTTCAAATAAACTCCTACTCAAACACACTTACTAAATTAGAGTTTGTTTGGACGGAAGATTATTTGAAATAATTATTATAATATTTTTTATGATGTGATTAAGTGACATTAAAAAGTGATTAAAAAGATAAATAGATATATTAAAATTTATGAAGCAAATTATTTTTTATTAAATTATCCCAACGCAAACGCACTCGGCGATATAGCCTAGATATTCAAACGAATGGAGTACTTTTACATCTTGTTTGTCTTTATGTAATTTTGCCTATTAACATTTTAAAGCCGTCATCCTTTTTTTTTTTCCATGTTTTTGTTGTGGGAAACTTTTGTTATCTTATGCTTATTAACATGCAAAAAATGGTATCTTTGCTGTATTGCCTTCTCCGTTCTTGTGGTCGGAGGTGGTTAATCTAATTTATTGTGCCAATATTTATATGTAAAAACTGCATCTTTGTTGATATTTGTGTAATTGGCACTTCAAAATTGCATCTTTTAGGATCTTTCTATTGGAGCTAGTGAAAGCCAATAAATTTTCTGGCAACATTCTAAGAAGTGTTTTTCTTTGTTTTTTATTGAATGTCTCAGGAAAAACCTACAATGAGCTCTTTGGGAAATGTACTTTTTCCTTTGGCTGTCCTCACGGCGGCAGGGGGAGCTGCTGTTCAAATAGCAATTAAATTTTTAATTCTGCAGGGTAAAGCATTTCCGTTGTTGGAAAAGCATGAGGAAGATTTCATTCAAAAGGTTCCTTCTTTCTCTTTGATAATCGCATTATCCAGTTTCTGTCACTGCTTCACTTATAATTGCTAGATGCTAAGCATGGGATGACTATGGAATATGGTAAAATGTGTGCTTTATCACAAGTACTAGACAACTCAACTGTTTTCCGTGTTCTAGTATACATTTTGAAGGCGGTTCATTATTTCCTAGACGACATTTTCAGTTAGTAAAGATGAATATTTCACATCTTTACTCATATTAGCTGCCTATATTTCTTATCAACCCTTTGTTCCCAAGTTGCATGAGCTTGAATCGCTGGTTCTAGTCACATCTATCAAGTCTTCTAGAATAAATAGCCTTAAGAAATTATTAGGGTGATGCTACTCAAATCAAGTCTTCTAGAAAAAATATGCAACCATGTGTATTCTTTTAAATGTCATTTTTCTTTCCTAATTATAACAAAGCCTTTTTTATGGGTTAACAGAGAGAAACCGAATAGCTATGGATACTAAATAGGCACCTCTGCTTGGGAAACCTGAACCTAGTCAATTTATCAAGTGGACTAGTTTTGAAACAAAGACAAGCTGGCAGTTTTGGATGTGTCTGGCTAGAGTGAGATGTTGACTAGATATGCAAGTTGGACACTGTTTTTACTTAAAAGAGAATATTGGTTTTTAACAGGAAGAAAGACAGACGTACAACCAAGTTGGTGTTATGATTTGCAGTTCAGGATTCAAATAAAAGCTTAGTTTGAATTGTACTGGGTGCATGTTTTATTGAGAAACTTTATAACAATCAGATTTATTTCCGAGCTCAATAAGAGGTACAAATCTTTCACCAAGCCAGGCGAATAGGGTCTTTTAGATTCTCTAATATTTAAACTTATTTCTACAAGATGTTTAGTTCTTTGGAGATGATTAATTCAGGTGGACATAATTCTTCTTTAGCTTAGTTGTAATTAGCTGAAGTTTTTAATATGCTTGAGTAACTATCCATGGAGTAATTGAGTTTGGTGATTGTAAGCATTGAAACTTCTTTGCTCTTGAATAATGAAAGGAAATATACCATTAGTTGGTAAGATGTAAATGAATGTGAGATGAAGTAAATTAGCTGGTCACTTATGCTGTACTTGCATTTGTCATTATACTTCTCTATATTATTGTTTTCCTCTGGGAAGAGGATATTCTTTAGATAGTAAGTGTACTTTGTCATGTTAATCTGTTTTAGTACTTTATTTTTTGAAGAACCCTGTATGTCATCTAAATAGGTTTTTATTACTCTGGCGTGTTCTGTAGTCTGATTGAATTTGAATTAGGTTGATTATGCTGTCACCAATGAAGATAAGATCAGTCAACTGCCAGATGATTTGCTGTCAGGCATCCTCTTGCATTTGGACCTGATGGAAGTTGTTAGGCTGAGAATTTTATCAAGAAGGTGGAAAAATGTTTGCAAACTCAGGGGTGAGCTGCGTTTAAACTGCCTTGACATGTTTAGAGTGAATCAGTCCCATGATAAGTGTAGTCGTCAGGATCAGTTTAGGTTCTTGAAAGCTGTAGACAATTGTTTACAGCTTTGTTCCTGTCAAACCATTACTTGCTTGGAAATTTCATGCTGTTTTCTGAAAAGATTTACCTCTGATTTTATTCGATGGATGCAGTCTATTGCTACATTAGATATTCAAGAACTTCACCTCAGGTTTCTGTGTTCCTCCTCGCCTCTCTGTGAACATGTCAAGTCCAGCACGATTGACCTTTTTCCTATCTCTTTTCAGCTTCTTTCTAAAGCAGCCACATTGAAACATTTGCATCTGTGTGCATGTGTTCTCCAACCAAGGTTTACCAGCCAATTTAATTCACTTAAGAGCCTTTACTTGGACCTGGTTCCCATGAGTAATGGAGAATTACCGAGAATATTGTCTTCATGTGTGAACCTTCAGACGTTGAGAGTTGCATATTGTAAACTTTCTCCTAAGTTATGTATCTCTGGCCAGTGTCTCCAGTTGAAGTGCCTTTATGTTCATTCATGTCCTGGGCTACAGGAGATAGTAATATGCGCTAAAAACCTCAATACTTTTTCTTGCTTTGCGGAGGGTACGATGAAATTTTCTCTCGATGTTCCCAATCTGGAAGATGCACGTGTCCACGTTAGAGGCCCTAATGCCATGCCTTATATGTTTGGAGAAGTTTTCAAGGACTGTACTAAGTTAAAATTTCTGTTGTTCCAAATACGCACCAATGAGGTTTGTACTGATTCCACTATGATGCTTGGTGCTAGTTATTTTGCCTCCGATTCCTTGTATTGGTAGTTATGTTTTTTTTATCTCACTCTTTTTTTCCCCCCTGATTCAGATACGGTATGTGCCTACAAAGATGGATATGTTCAGCAATCTTAGGACATTATCATTTGTGCCCATTATCGAAACTTTGGCTGATGAACTAGAAATTGCACCTATTCTGGTGGCCTGCCCACTTTTGGAGAAACTTCGTCTGCAGGTTAGATTTGGCTTTTTGCATTTTTCCTTTCCTCCAATTATTGTCATTTGCAGTTTCTTGACAACTTTTTAAGGAATCTTATTTTTTGACTCCACTTATTGAAAGCAATTTAATCAACAAATTCGGCGCTTTACTTGTTTGAGATTTGCTAAAGAGATTGGACATTTGGCTTGGCATGTTATTTTTTTTATTTGCTTAATAATTTTCTGGTCCTTTTCTGCTGGGCGGTTGGGCAATCAAATGCTTAAACGATTCCTTTAGTCTCAGTGATACTTATGCTAGATTCATGCTTTTTAGGTAAACGTCTAAATGTATACTTGGTGAAATACTGGATTTGTGTCCCCTAGTTTTCTTAAATCTTACCTGTATTACTCCAACTTTTACTACTGCTGCTTTTTCAGATTTACCTTTCTGTTCTTCGTTGGCCTCAATTGGTAAGTTTGGGCTAGCATTGGGATGCAAGAGCATCTGTAATGCAATCTATGAATGTCTGTAAATCGAACTAATTTGTGGATTTGTGCTGATGGCTAGCAAAAGGGTTTACAGTCAAACTCGATACAAGCCCAACTCATCTTCCATCAAGAGTGAGGTTTACTTTGTAATAGAGCTGATGAATTGGAATGAATGGATTTCTTTTCATCTTGTATGGGTGTAAATTTTGTTATTTGGGGTAATCCTCGATGGTTGTGGGTATAATATATTTGCTGGTCTGTCCAGGTTTAACTTTCATAACTGATGATACTGGGGGGTGAATGGAATCTTGTGAAGAGCTAGTCTTTGAAAAAGGAAAACAAGTATTCCTCTGTAGATGTTTAAATAATATCACTCGGTTTTAGATTGGAGGTTGAATTGAATTTGGCTTGATTTTTGTCATTGCTTGCGCTGCCCTTGTTGAGATTTGTTTTATAACATCTCTTACCGTGCAAAATTATCTTTTCCTTATGTATTGTGCTTTTAAGGTAGAAATTTGCTTCTTCAAATTATTATATTGATCGGAAACTAAGTTAAATGATAAAAGACATTAATCTATCTCTACAAATTGACGCATTTACATGCTTTGTATTTTATCCAATATGGTACAGCAGTTTTGCAAGTAGCTATGAGTGGAGATTGTTTCTAAAATGTTGGAAGTGAATTCTGGGGACTTATTTCATACATACCCCACTTTCTGCTATACTTGCTGTTGAGGAAAGTGGCAACGTTTTAAACTGCTATTTCCTATATTAAGCAGATAGTAAAAAATAGTAGATCAGATTCTTCGAAACAACTTTGATGTGAGTTGAGACTTACAAAGAAAAGCAGGTTTTAATCTTTATCTTTGAATCTTGATTTTGCTTCTTTCTGCATCCTCTGTGGCTTCTGCTATTTGTTTCTTGGCTAACAAAGTCTCGAATAGATGACAAGCCTAATTGAACAATATATTTTTGTTTCAGTTCCTTTGTGAAGGTATAAATCAAAAAAGGGGAAGAAATTGGCCTACAGAGCCTCTTGCTTGTCTAAAAGAGGTAGATCTCGATGGATTTAAAGCGTCATTGAATGAAATAGATTTCGCTTGCTATTTGGCACGAAATGCTCCTGTACTCGAGCGACTCACAACTCGGCCAACCTGTAGAATCTATGTTGAAGATTTTGCAGTAACGACTGCACCCAGTGGTGCCTATTTACGTTCGCTAGTCACTTATCTGCATGGATTAGTAATGCTGCATGCCATCTCCAATAAACTGGAGGTGAATGTTTTGGGACTTCCTTGAGTCTCCGACGAAGTGAGGCCGTGTTCTTGAATAAGCAGATATGAAGCTGGGAGTTTTTGCAGCGGAGGACTCAACAGTTGCTGTAGAAGAGACAATGATTAGATACGAAGCCGGGAGTTCTGGAAGGAGGGGAATCAACCATTACCATGGAAGACAATTCGGGCAGGTGTAGCCTGGAGGGGTCAATATGTACTTTCCAAATCTCTTCGAGTTTGCTAATTACCATGATGTGTTGAACAGTTCAATTGTGGAATAATTAAGAGATCATGTAGGATGTATCATATTATTATATTAAACTCTGGTTAGGCGTAATTCACACAACTTAAAAAGTTTTTAACTTATAATCTTGATGTTTATACTTGAATCAAACGTACATGAAAGCTATGGATTTCTAAATTGCGGACTGGATCCATTGAAGTGGAGGAACTTAATATTCAAGTTTGGGTTGTCTTTTCTTTTCTCTTCTTTATGCTTAGATTGCTTGGAGGTGAATCGTGCATCACCTTATGATTTATTCGCACGTTTTTCAACTACTTTTTTCTCTATTTTGAATAATTTTTTTTTAAAAAAATTTTGCACTTTTCAATCACTTTTCTCTAGCGTAATTTCCAGAAATAACGCGATTGAGGAGAAAAAAGTTCGAAAAGTGGTGGTATAGGCCGATGTTGGATAATTGAAGCGTCGTCACAGATGTCATTATCGGCTACTGAAAAAATCAATTTTCTTTTTCATTTTTCTTTTGCAATTGAAAAGGAAAATTTGTTTTGCATTTTTTTTTCTTTGAATATGCTTAGCCGCATGCAGATGCGGCTAGCCCTTTTTTCATAGCCGCGTGCATATCTCTCCCAACTTCTTCCTTTGTGAGTCTCCCTAATTTTTTCGTTCTATTGCTGGGGTTTTGTATTGAAGAACTCCTGCAACTGTGGTTCTGCATTTGTTCATTTCCATTGTGTCGCCGCAATTGTATCTTTAGATTTTTTATCGAAGAACTGCCAGCATTGTGGTTGTGCATTTGTGCTTTCACATTGTGCAACCGATTGTTGGTTTATGGTTTGCTATAACTGGAAAACGAAGCCGTAGATGGATCTGCGCATTTTTCAATTTGCTGCATTTAACATTTATTATATGAATGCTACATTGTTTATGGTACTTTAAAAATTAGAGTTTAAATTGAGGATGATAAATTACGATTTAGGATTTATAAATTAGGGTTCAAGTTTTATGAATTAGGATTTTGACTTTAAAAAATAGAGTTTAAGATTTATATATTTGGATTTAGGCTTTATAAATAAAGGGTTTAGGCTTTATAAATTAGGGTTTTCGATTCATCAATTTGGATTAAGGGTTTATAAATTACGATTAGGGTTTATAAATTAAGATTCAAGTTTAATGAATTAGTATTGAAAATTTATTAATTTGGATTTAGGGTTTAGGTTTTATAAATTTGGAATTAGGCTCTAGGGTTCAGTTATTATACTTTATGGTTTCATAAAAAAATAAAAAAAAATTGGTACATGCGGCTATTAAAAAGTAAAAAAAAAAAGGGTGTTAAAATGGTCGCCGCATAGTGCATGCGGCTATGAAAAAAGGGCATGCGGCTAAGCATATTAAAAAAAAAATGGAAAACAAAATTTTCCTTTTCAATCGCAAAAGAAAAATGGAAAAGAAAATTGATTTTTTCAGTAGCCGATAATGACATTTGCGGCGACCCTTCAATTATCCAAGATCCGCCAACAACACCATTTTTCTGACTTTTTTTCCTCAAGCGCATTATTTTTGGAAATTCGCCCTTTTTTCTATCTTGAATAACGTTTTTTTTTTTATCTCCAATATATTACAGTATAAAAAAATGCTAGTACAATATTATTTTTAAAAAAGTTCCAATAATCTTCAATCCAAACAAACCTTTAACTGCAGTGTGAACAAGATAGTGGTTGTGTTTTAGATGCACGTTTCTACTTGGAGTCCGCGTAAGTTGTCAGCATTGATAACTAAAAAAAAAAAAAAAAAAGGTTGATGCTGTTGAATCCTTGTCATAAACTTTACCTAATTAAAACTTCTTTTTGGGTGAAAGAATCACATCGTGGTGTTTGATGAATTAAATATGTTGACTTCAAGCTTCATGAAGCATGAGTTCAATCAAATCCTATATAAACTAGTGTACATTTCAGCAACGATTTAGGTGCAGGTTTGTTTGGACAGTGAATTATTTGTCAAAATTTATTTGTTTACATCAGCAATACAATTTTCAATCAACTTTTTATCTCACATACATCACATAAAAAAAAAAAGTGTTGCATTATTTTTTAAAATAAATTATCCCAAATAATCTATTATTCAAACACAAATTAGAAGACGCCGAGGAAATCTTTTTTTTTTTTTTTTTTGTCGGTTGCTTAATTATCTTGCCATTTATAGTGGTATCTATTGGTCGTGTATATATTTTTATTGTTCTGATACTAAAGAAGAAAAGAAAAACTTGATGCCCTGAGTCAGGTAAACAATCCTGTTCTTGGCACTTTGAACAAAGTACAAATGATCGATAGGAAATGAAAAGTGGAAATGAAGGTTAAATTAATGCCCAAACTCCTCCTGGTGATCTTTATTATTTATCATCCCATTTCAGTTGGTATAAAGACGAATGAGACATTTGGCCTATTTGTTCCTCTTTTAAGCCAACTTTGCTATTACATTCATTAGTTGAGTGGTTCCCATTTGATGAAAAGGGAGTTGTGGGTTCCAATCAAAGCTTAGTTGCATGTTGCTCTCGTATATGGTCTCATCCTTTTTTCGGGTCACAGGAGGTTGTGGTTCTTAGAAAATTCACTTAAATCCAACATTTTTAAGACAAAATTTCACTTGTCATATTTTTGTTAGAACTAATTTCACCTGAGAAAGATAAGATACTCCAAGGCATCAAAATTCAGGAAGATTTTCGTCTTAACTAAACACTATCTTTGTTTAGACCCATAATTTTCACATGATACTTGAAATTTTCACATGAAGAAGGATTACCCTAATAAGGAATTTATGCTGCCGCGTCCTCTTCACTTTTGCCCTCGGATGTCGGATAAGAGGGCAAGTTTGATACCTTAGACTTCAAGTCTGGTTCTTGGCTAAAGAATAGAGTCAATAGGCCAAAGAAGACGTGCTAACAAACATTTAACAAGTCCTCGTCCTAATATTTGACAATAAGACTTGAGAAATTGCTAAACTTGTAATCTATCTAAAGGAAGGGCAAAGAATGGGCAAGTCCCATTTTTCAATCCGGATAATGAATTTAAACTACGTTCACTGGATGTGGGGTTTGCTTCAAGAAAAGGTAAGAGATTGCCTGTTAGGTTCATTACAGCTCCTTACGATGCAAAGCAAAGGATGGCAGTTTTCTAAGGAGGGGTTTTGCTGTGCATGTCACATTTCAGTTGGGAAGTGTTTTTCCCTTTTAATAAAAAGCAAATTTCATTAACGAATTGCTAGAAATCGTTCAGCATAAATTGGTGTTCTGATAATGGATTAAACATGCATTAGAATTAACAGATCAGATATGCAATTTAAAAATACAATACATCTGAAAATTTTTAAATAGATCTACTGTTGGGAAGCGTTAAGTTCGTGCAATTTTAGATTTTTTTTTTCTGTTGGAGCGAATTAATTAATCTCATATACTATTGATCCCATCATTGTAGGTTAATTTTAATTCCATCATAACAAAAAATAAAAAAAGCGAAAAAACACACACAAGAATAGAGCTTCATGAGTTTGAGCAAACAATTATTTAAATTTAATGGATTCATATCTTAATATGTTCAGACGTATTTGATAACCTACAATTAAACATATGAATTAATTAAGTAGCACTGAATTTTCTAGATAAAACTTGTTTTAAAAAATAAGTGATAACCTATTCATTTATCACTGAATATAAAATATATTCAAATGTATTTGATTTAATGCTTTACAGCTGATCAATAATTTAATGAATTCAAACTTCAGATTTCAGATTTCAATTTTTAAACTTCAATTTTATCAAGAGCAGCCTTATTTGAGCGACTACATGTTAGGCTATGGATTAATAAACGAATTAGGAATCCCTTAAATCAGTTGAGCAAAGAAAGATTTGTGATGCTCCTTTCCTTCCCCCAAATTGTTGTATTGAGTTTCCCTTCAATGCATTGCTACACACGCCACCGGAAAACATGAAACCACACGCAGCTTTTGTTGTCGACAAAGTGAATGACTAAAGGAAAATGACAGCACATCTGCTTTCTTTGAGACTGATGAGTTATTGGCCTTTGGGTGTTTTACATGTGTAAGTATCAACCCAAAGATATATTCTTTCTTTTCATTCTTAGGCCAAATCTTGTTCTTTAATCATTGTTGGCGACGGATCTTGCTCCTACATGCAACGAGAAATTGAGAAAAGCAAAGTCACTAACCCTTTTTGCGGATCTATTTGGATAATATGTTCATATGATAATTTGTCCTCAACCATGACAGCTACATCAAAGCAGACAAATTTAGTAAAGCGTATGAATCAAAGCGTCTATAAACAAACAAATACCTTTTTTTTTTTTTTTTGGAAAAAAAAAAGAAGCTACTTTGGCCTGATCTATGGGCTCCATTCGGTGATCTTTATAAGGCAAAAGTTGTCGACGAGTGTCGAATCATATATATAGCTTATTTGTCCTCGCTGAAATTCTTGCACTTGAGTTTTTTTTATCAAATTTGTCTGTTACAAGTTTTTTAAAAATTTTACTTTCAGTAATCTCAAAAATTTTTTAAAAAATTTTAAACTATACACTTTAAATTTTTTTTTTTAAAAACTTCTACAGTAAGTTACAGTAAAATTTTAAATAAATACCTAACAAACTCACTTGCCAAATGAGGCCCTAAGTTTTTTTTTTTTTTTTTGGTTGGTTATTAAAGAAAAAACTAATCAATGATTGAATGATATTAATTTCCTTTGAGAAATCCGTTTCCTTGTGATTGCATGGCAAATTAACTGAAGCACGGCACTGAGAAGTAACAGATGTACGATTTATAAAAACTGAATTGATTTTGTTTATGGAATATGTGGTCAGACTAGCAGCCTTCTGTACAAATCTGACAGAGTGGGTCTTGCAGTCAAACTTGAACGACATCAATTGGAAAGTTGATACAATTACAGCGAAAATAATTCCAATGGCGGCACCAAAACACTCGTGCCTATTAGTAAGGTTTTTGTTTAATAAGATCTGTGTGCCTGTTAGTTTTTAACACAAATTTTTTTTAGGCTCCCTCCTCCTCCTCTGTGATTTATGATAAAATAAATTATATAATTATTATCATCTTCAGAAAAAAAAATTACAAAGTTGGTACAGTCTCCAACCCCAATTTCATATAAAATTCTTTTCGTTTGGATCACTGTTTTTTTTTTTCTGAATTTTTATACAAA